AATAACGAACAATCTGTGTCCTTTCTACCCCCCCCCCTTGGTCTGAAATGAAATAAATTTTCCAACTTTTACGATAAACGTAAATGCATTATAATATATTTGCCAATACACCTTATAAGAAAGAAAAAAAAAAAACAATAACGCAAAGAAATTAAAAGTGTTGCAAGAAAGCTATAAATATGAAGAAAAAAGAAATGGAGTGATTCTAGCACGTTAAAATATAACACAAGAGAGAAAGAACAATCGAGTATTACAATATAATGGCCATGGAATTCATTAGTCACAAAACATAATCAATGTCAACTGAAGTACGAAGCACAGAATTACATATATACTTGTTTGAAGAGGAATTATTAATGATGATTAATATTGTAATGAATTTAGAAGAGAAATATATATATATATATATATATATATATATATATATATATATATGTATATATATATATTATATATATATATATATATATATATATATATATATATATATATATATATATATATATATATATATATTCAGTGTTGCATTACTTCCACTATAGGACAAAATCAAATGGACTGTGATCCACTAAAATTTAAAATGACCAATTTTATAATTATTGTTATCTGTTATTATCTGGGAGTGACAGGCCAACATATATATATAAAATTAGTTTTGGCTTGGGTATGTTACTCTTGAGTTTACCCTTCCTTTCGCCGCTCAATCAGTCGACGTTTCTTTTTAAAATTCTATGTCTAAGCGCCCTCACTATTGGACTTTTTGTCCTCCCTTCTGGTCTTTCCGTCCGGTGGTCTGAATGTCCTGGTCGCCCTGAGGTCTTGTCCTTAAACACATTCTTCTTGGGGTCTGGGGCTGTGATTTACAGAGAAACTGCTGTCTCACAAAGAAATACAGACTCTTCATCATTAGCTGCCCTCGCCGTTATTTGCTTGGCTTGATGAAGGCTTACTGCGAGACTGCATAAGCTCAAGTACAGAGTGTATAGAGTCAAGCCTTTGATCTCCATCCTGTTCAGTAGACTCTTTTTTCGTCTCGTCAGCATCTGTCGAGCTATCCTAGCAGTTATTTCCTTAACCTGAGGCAGGCTTAGTGCCAGACTGTGCAAACCCAAGTAAAGACCGTATCCACTAGATGAAATCAAACCTTTGATCTCCATCCTGTTCAGTAGACTCTTTTTTCGTCTCGTCAGCATCAGCCTAGCTCTCCTAGCCGTTATTTGTTTGACCTGAGGCAGGCTTACTGCCAGACCGCGCAAGCCCAAATAAAGAGTGTATCCAGGCGTTGAAACCACGCCTCTGATCTCCATTCTCTTCAGCCTAGCTCTCCTAGCCGTTATTTGCAAACCCAAATCTAGACCTCATCCACTAGAAGAAATCAAACCTTTGATCTCCATCCTGTTCAGTCTAGTTCTCCTAGCCGTTATTTGCAAACCCAAATATAGACTGTATCCACTAGAAGAAACCAAACCCTTGATCTCCATCCTGTTCTGCTTAGCTCTGCTATCCGCCACTTGCTTGAGCTGACGCAGGCTTAGTGGAAGAGTGCGGAATCCCAAGTAAAAACATTAACCAGGCGGTGTAACCATGCTTTTCCTCTCCCTGTTCAGCCTGGCTCCCCAAGCCGTTATTTGTTTGACCTGAGGAAGACTTAGTGCCAGACTGTGCAAACCCAAGTAGAGACCGCATCCACTAAATGAAATCAAACCTTTGACCTCCATTCTGTTCAGTAAACTCTTTTTTCGTCACTTCAGCTTCAGTCGAGTTCTGCTGGCCGCCACTTCCTTGGCCTGAAGCAGCCTTTCTCCCAGACCGCACAAGCCCAAGTAAAGACTGTACCCAGTTGATAAAACCACGCCCTTGACCTCCATTCTGTTTAGTAGAATCTTCTTTCGCATATTAAAATATTCTATACATCTTTGAGAAATTATGGAAATAAAAACAAAACCTTGATACCAGTATCGGTATCTAGCTAAATCAATGATCAAGATCTCAAAGGAATACTCAGAATAGCATAAAGAATGTGTGTGTGTGTGTGTGTGATTGTGTCTTACGTAGATACGATAGTGATGCCTGACTGCTGCCTTGCGGTTCAGTCTGCGTATGGTCAGAGGCTATGGGAGTTCACCCAGTATAAAACAATCCACTGCTTTGTGGCATCTATAAAATAAAAAGGCTTCGGGAGTCAACCCTGAGGAAAAAAGTCCCTAAAGCAATTCGTTGTCGCTTGCGAACTCGTTCTGGCAACTCCTGCGACGCCGCTGGTACCAAACCATATCGGTCTATGTCGTTCCTTTGGAGCTGCGTGGAGAGAGGAGCCTGCTGCACGGGGAACCGCTTGCTCCTTACATTCTTTCGCCCAGGCATTGACGGAAGTGGGTAGAGACAATACTGCCATAGTGTTTGTATATATGTACTGTATGTGTTTGTATATGTCCTGGGTATGACACTGGACTGCATTCAGGCAGTGTGTGGGGTTAAGCAGTCCCACCCAACTTCTATA